TCTCTCTTTCTGAAAGTTCACTATTGGTGTATAGAAATGCCTCAGATTTCTTGGGGTTAATTTTGTATCCTGCTACATTGCCAAATTCATGTATTAAGTCTGGTAGCTTTTTGATGGAGTCTCTAGGGTTTTGTATGTATAATATCATGTCATCTGCAAATAAGGACAGTTTTACTTCCTCTTTTCCAATTTGGATGCCTTTTATTTCTTCTTCTTGCCTAATTGCAATGGCTAACACTTCCAGTACTATGTTGAACAGGAGTGGTGAGAGGGGCCATCCCTGTCAATAAGACATTGGATTCTTAACGTCTTTTAAGTGACCCTAAGACCAAAGTGCCATAAATCAGTTAAATCAAAAAGTATAGTAGGTTATTATTCAAAAAACTTTTATTAAACATCTATAAAATAACATTATGCTACTAAACATAATGGAAGATAGCAATATAAATAAACAGTAGTTTCTGTTTTCCAGAAGCAAAAAGAACGAAAAGATTGGCATTTGAATTTTGGTTCACCCCTTAGTATTTATATAACTTTGGGCAAGTCATTTAATTCATTACTTTTTGAAAAAAAAATATTTCTGAGTGTCAGCTTCCTTATCTGTAAAGCCAGGATAACAATACCTCTCCTGTAGAGTTATATAGTCTAGAAATAGTAGTCTATTTACCTAGCATAGTATGTAGTTCATGGTAAGTTCACAGTTACCAGTAACTTTCTATTATTGCCTACTTCTTAAAAGGTTCTCTATAAATATTAGTATCTCTTCCTTTTTGCTTACACCCATCAATCACTAACAAAAATTGTGGCCACTATGATATATCACTAACATGCAGGAAGTAACCTTTGTTATGTCTTCTGAAATCAAAAAATAGGTGAACCAAGGCCTATGAAATTCATTTTGACTTCCTTGTACAGATTTCAGTGTGCATACTTAAAGAGAGTCAAGAGCTTTCAAGGCTGGGATCTGTTTTCTTAAAATGGATTGAACATATACATAAAAGCCATTCATTAGGATCAGCCTTTGATTTTCTGAATAGTAACTGGTTATAAGTTGTCAAAGTCTATGGTTCCAAAGGTTTTCTTAGTTTTTATTAGGAACGTTTTCATATATACACAAAAGTAGAAAGAATAGTAAAATCCACTCTCCCATACATCCATCAGCCAATCCCAACAACTATCAACTAAAATGTTATTTTTGTGTTTTTTTAAATATATTTTTATTGATTTCAGAGATGACGGGAGAGGGAGAGAGAGACAGAAGCATCAATGATGAGAGAGAATCATCAATCGGCTGCCTCCTGCATCCTTCCTCCTGGGGACTGAGCATGCAACCCAGGCATGTGTCCTGACCAGGAATCAAACTGTGACATCCCAGTTCATAGGTCGATGCTCAACCACTGAGCAACACCAGCTGGGCTAAAATGGGTTTTAACAGAACCATTTCAGTAAAAAATTATATTTCCAGCTCTTTATCAGTGTTTCTCTAAATCATTATTTTTAATCCCATATCATGGATCTAGTTAGTTTATTTTATTAATAGTCAAATATTTATTTTCTATAAATATAAAATTATTTTAAGACATTTTTAAAAATCACAACATCAAAAGAAAAATGCATGGCTTTTTTTTTTTAATGGGAGAGAATTAAATATGCTGGTAGAATATATTTTGTTCTGTCTTTGTTTTTAAGGTTTGGCTTGAGCAACAAGTTTGATACTGAATTTCCCTCCATTCTAACAGGGAAGGTAAGTGAGATTTTGCTTTGAACTTTTCAATTCTAAAAACATTGTTTTATGATGTATTTAGTGTTATGAAAAATGTTTGACTCACTGGCAATGAAATCTCATAGTAAGAGGCCAGGGTACTTGGAGGCTGTGCCATTAGTGACTGAAGGCTATGCCTATAACCAGTTATTTTGTTCATTGTTCGTTAATGCTAGCCATCATTTACTTATTTGTTCAGTTTTTACAGTTTTGCTGTTTTTCTCAGCCCTGGTAGCTATAACTGTTTTCATTTAGGTCAGTAATTTCCCTGTGTTTGTGTGTGTGTGTGCATGCGTGCGTGTGCGTGTGCATGTGTGTGTGTGTGTTTTGTTGTTGTTGTAAGCGGCAGGAATGATACTGGGTGTTAGACTGATGGGGTCAGAACTGACCTGGGTTCAACAACCTCAGTACTTGAGTTCTGGCTAGGAAAGAATTCAGAGCCAAGATTCAAATGAACACTCAGTGAACATTTATTTGGTAAATGATGGAGGTAGAAAGAGTAATTCCTAGAATAAATGGGCTTAAGAAACAAGTTATAGAGGTAAAGCAAGGGCCCTTGGATCTTGGGAATAAGGAAGGAAATGGCGACATGTGTGGTGGGAGAAGGAAAGGGAAAGAAAGGGAAGGAGAAGGTAAAGGGAAAGGCACTGGTGTGCTTTCGGGAGGGAGGGAAGAAAGAACAGAGAGTGTGCTGGGTCCTCCATCCTAAGGGTTTTAAGGATGAAGATTTGGGGGGAGGTCCTAGGGCAGTGATGGCGAACCTATGACACGTGTGTCAGAGGTGACACACGAACTCACTTTTTTGGTTGATTTTTCTTTGTTAAATGGCATTTAAATATATAAAATAAATATCAAAAATATAAATCTTTGTTTTACTATGGTTGCAAATATAAAAAATTTTGTATATGTGACACGGCACCAGAGTTAAGTTAGGGTTTTTCAAAATGCTGACATGCCAAGCTCAAAAAGTTCACCATCACTGTCCTAGGGGAAGATCTTAATAGAATATTCAGCATCTTTCCAGGTGTGTCCTTTCAGGGTCTAAGTCTCCACTGATTGATTGGTTGATGCCAGGGCAGGGGGTCATTATCCAATACAGCTGGTCCTGAGGTCATCCATGGGGTCACTGGTCTGGTTTTGTTGTTTTTCTGGGCCTGGAGCTGAAATACAACTGAGATCTAAATGTTATCTCTAGGGAGGAAAGGTCAGGGGGTCCAAACCACTTGACTAGTGATATGCTAGGGGAGGAAAAGTCACCCTGGGGGAGAGGTCCTACAATTGTCCTTTGCTAGGCACCTGGGCTTTCCACCCTGATGACTTTTACCTAGCCCATCGTCCTTGCTCTGCTCATGTCTGTCTAACTGCCTACCACACTTTCAGGCATTTCTTTTTATTTACTGGTGTGTTTTTTCCAATGCAAATCAATTCCATAAGATGAGAAGTTACTATGAATCAAAGCATAAGTACACAAACAATATATAATCAAAAATAGATGTACAGCATCTACTCTAATAAAAGAGAAACATGCAAATTGGTGTCACTCGGCTACATCTACCAGCCAATCAGGGTGACTATACAAATTAACCCAACAAAGATGGTGGCGGCCTTGGAGCTGGAGGCTTGGGTTGCCCCCAGCGATGGAAGAAGCCAAGCCTCCTGCCCACCCTGGCCCACTCGAGGA